AGAAAGCCTGGAGGAAGTACCCCTATGAAATTAATGTTAAATATTGAACATCCTGGCCCCGAGGATGCAGACCGATATGTAATGGGAATGTATTGGAAGAAAGGTTCCTACAACAAATTAGGTCATTTCTACCTCAGAGATATGTACCACTCTCCAGAGTGGCAAGGGGCTGATCATATGGTCCCAAATCCGCTAAAACCACATATCCAGTCCTTTAAAGATATGATGGCCATCGCTAACCCCACTTTTGAAGATACCATGGCCGCTGAAACTGGATTCAATTACATTAATTTGTGGTTAGAATGGATGAGGTATAATGCCAACAAACATAATAAAACAGCATGTTATGTATGTGGCGGTGCCCGACCCCACCTTGGCACCGTCCCCCTAACTCTCCCTTTAGAGATAGAAGATTGCTTCTTAAGCCTTTTTGCCTACCAATATGACTTTAGTTGAAAATGTTAAGCCACCAGATGGAATCACAGTCTATAGAGGTAATTACACTTGTTATGCCATGTATGACGGGATTGGTAAATTCATGGGTAATTTTTCTAAAGGTTATTGCGCCACTTACAGAACTGTTCCTATACGCCTGTTGCAACACCATACCAGGTCATTGGGGGATATTTACTGGTTATGTGGGGATCTACAGTTAAGATCTAGGCTGGAAACTGAGTGGTGGGGTGAGTGTACCCTAGCCAAAGTTATCATGCCCATTCATATTATTTCTGATAATCATCATGACACATACGACCCTCCACATACACCAGCCAGAGTGAGGCGCGAAACCCCAGTAAAAGGCAGTTTTGACCCCCACATTTACATAGATGCCATCGGGGTACCTAGGGGGGTGCCTAATGAATTTAAAGCTAGAGATGAAGTAGCTGTAGGTTTTGAATCACTGTTCACTATAGTTACTGCCAACAAAAACCTTAATTGGATTAACTACATTTATTACAACCAACAGCGCTTCGTGAACTACACCAGGGATACCCTCCAGGGCTTGGCCGAGCAATTACAGGCCACATCCCAAATGACCTTCCAGAACAGACTGGCCTTAGACATGATCTTAGCCGAAAAAGGGGGGGGGTCTGTAAAATACTTCCCGACACTATGACTTGTTGCACTTACATTCTAGAAAACACAGGTCCTAATGGTAAAGTCACTCTAGCCATAGCTAAATTAAATAGACTCTCAGAAGAGTTAAAGAGAAACTCTGGAGTTACTGATCCCTGGGAAAAATGGTTTGGTTGGATGACTGGTTGGCAGAGAGCTTTAGTCCAGATTGGTATTGCCTTACTAATTTTTCTTTTTATTCTCGCTCTTCTCATTTGTTGTGTCCTCCCATGCCTAAGGAAATTCCTGCAGAAAACCGTAGACCAAGCAACACCAACCTTCACTCATCTGACAATCGATGATCAAGATCTCACCTCACCCTGTATTCCGCTACAAACTCTCCCTTATACTGATGAAGTGCAGAAAGTCTAGGAAGGGACAGTACAGGGACAGCGTCCGTCTTTATGGGTAGACTGCCGTACGGAGAAGTAGTGGATAAGCCACTATGGGTTACCAGCGGAGTGAAGAGTGTTCCTGAACCGTACTGACGGATGTGCTGCAGCCTGTTAGGGTCAAGAGAGGGATAGACTTGCACTTTGCATTAACACTAAGTCAGCGGTCATGGGGTTTCTGTGTCTTTGGGCTAACACATCTTCCGATACTAACAAATAAAGTTTTGTCTTTTAGCAAATAACATTTTAGGGGTGACTGTTGTAGAATTATTAGGCCTCTATAAATCTGTAAGGCCCCTTTAAATCCTCTTGCTATACCTCTAAGAGGCCCCCATAGTTTTACAAGAAAGCTTTGTCTATAGAACATAGAATTTTCATGTCAGCAAGAAATAGCTTTGATAAAATGTGTATTTACTAAAAGCCTTGAAACCTAACCTTGAGAAACTAACCGTGCCAGCTACACTCTAAATGGATAGCTGCAAAAAGGCCCCTCCCATCGAGTGAGCTCCTCATGTTAGCAAAATGGCGCTAAAACCTGGAGGAGATAATCATGACGTGGATAGTGACTTAAGATGGTACACCCCATAGGGAGGGCATTTTACTAACATCTTAGCACCTAAGCCAATTAACAATGTCTATTTGTCTATATCTTGATTTTCTTCAATGATGTAATAATGCCTTTAAAAGGGTCTGCGCACCCATTTTCTGTCAGAAGCCATTAAACTTCTCCGAAGTTCTTTCATTAACCTGAACTTTGTGTCTCAGTGTGAATTTACTTCTGCGTGCACGCAACTTTATTATCTTTAATTTGGACAGGAACAGATAGTCATTCAAACTAATTGGTTTGCAGTAAATTATCTACAACACGTGGACAAAAGTACTATAAGCCCACTACACTTTTTCATGAGAGTGGGATGTATGATTGTTTATATGATGAGCCCTTTATTTTCATATTGGGACAAAAAGTCACTTCATTCAAAACGTCAAACACCACATTCTTTCTGCCCTGAGTGTTTGTTGCAGAGAATTTATGTTGTAAATTTAGATGATTATAAATTAGAGAACAAAATTTATATTTTCAGCCTTCCAACACATGCTTCATTTTTTGCTGTAAGCTAACTTGTAGTATTCCAGTACGTCACATGTTGTATGTGCTTTAAATTGTATGTATTCTGTAAATTATTGAATGGGGTTGCTGAGATTTTATTGCTTGCGACCCAAACTGTGAAGAAGTGGGTTTGAAATTTTGGTCATGAAATGTAGGATCAGAAAACCATGGACAAAGGTTTTTACCTGTGTTGATATGACTTTTGGGAACTCAAATTGACCGGTCAAAATTTTGCCATTCCTTTAACATGGAGTAGTATAAATATTTTGAGTCTTTGAGAGTTCTGACAAATGCAGGTGATACCATGTCTGTGTAATCTGGTCCAAATGTTCTATAAGCGTATAAGAGAGAAATTCTATTGACAGGATACATATGTTGCAACTGGTTAATGCAAGTGTTATACAAATGTTTAAGTCAAACGCGTTATATGGCCTTACGGGATCCCTTCTTTAAAAAACAAACCCTTTGGTACCAGAAATCTTAAATAAATCTGATGCAAACTAAAATTGGTATACCTTACAATAATATATTCTGAATACAGCTGTTAGAAGTTTATTCTGTGTGAATGGTGATTGTGATAAATGTGTGTTTTGTTTACTCATTTTAAAGTGTGCAGTTTAATTGTCATGTATGTTAATGGGTATTTTGCTGTGTTATTTTAAATTATATTTGAATAATTTTGTCTCAGTATTGATACAGATGGAAATGGCAGCGTAATAATCTATTAAATAACTGATTTATTATTGAATACTAGTCCAAGAGCAATATGAGTTGTAGTCTTAAGAAAGAAAAAAAAAGGGGGAGTCTGTTTTTGTAAGTTTTAGCTGATTTCCAAAATTCTGTTGCAATAATGGACTTCCTGCCAAAATTTGACTTTCCTGTCCAGTTGCCAGGTGCTCTGATCTAATCTTAAAGTAGTACTGCTTGCATAGTTTGCAGACATGCATAATGCACAAACATGAGAACCTATATTATGTCTGTCACAGAGTGTGACATTTATTAATTTATTTTGGATTGAGTTAATTGCCTGTCCATGAATATGCTTTTTGTATTGGCATGTCTGCTGGATATCTGCTACATGTTTTCTGTGCTATAAGATGACGTGTGATATTACAATGAGTATGAAGAAAATGTAAAGAATATTTGCATGTCATTAACGCAAGCCTTTAGTGTGTTTTTACAACAGATTAAAAAACGCTGATCAGCCAACAAGAAAGGGGCCCCTGGGAAAGAAAAAGAAAAAAAAATATCATCTGCTTTTCAAAATCGTTTCCAATTGAAAATGGCTCTCTCTCTCCGTATTATTAGGGGAGTATTTAGAGTTAACGCTACTTTTAAAGTGCATTGCATTATTTAAGAAAAATAAAAATTTGTTATCTTTAACATAAACAATTGTTATGTTATATGGTTATATAACAAGATAAATTATGGATGTATAGGATAGGTTTTTTCCAAGATTAAGATTCATCTAGTATGCCTCATTGATTATAGGAAAATTATGAAATGGTATTTTTAATAGAGATCAGATAATTTCTTTTGAGGCAATTCTTAACTACTGTATTATATTTGTATTGGTATATTGAAAGCATTTTGCAGACCCAGAAGAGAATAAATAATATAATAATTATAAAAGGAACCATACTATGGGAAGAGGTCACCCTATTAACTCGCTAAGGGGTTAAACTCATTTTTGATAAGCATATAAAATTTAGTTTTTGTGGTTAGACTTTTTGATACTCAATTTGAACTCAATTGAAGTATTACAACCATATCCTTGCAGGTATAGGAAACAGCTGCAATATGATTTTAATATTTGCAATATATTAGTGTTTTCAATGTATTCTGACAATGGAAAAGTTCCTAACCGCATGTCTGCATTACACCTATGACCCAGACTGTCAGTATTGCAAACCCTATAGAAGACTCTGCTTTCACTGTTTATGTATACACCCCTAGACAACCGTGCTATACATGCACAATAAATCTTCAAAAGCTTATTAATATTATATCTGTGTGGTACACAAAGAGGTGTACACAAAGAGGGGGTGTGAGTTAGGTCATCTCGACCTGCATATGGAATATGCTTCCTCCTTGTTCACTTTTGGTCAAACTGTTGGTCTGTGACTGGCCCTCTTTGACCCCAACTGAATTTCTTGGGAAGATTCATGAGAAAGATACAGCAGGTTGTTTTGATATAAAGAAAGAGGGAAAAGTATGTTGTATCGGTCACAAAAGGATTGTGATCTTAAGCAGGCGAGACAAAGAAATTTGGGAGGTGATAGGAGATTGAATCAGAAAAGTTTTAGAGGCAGAGGTAGAGAATTTGATCAAAGGATCTAACTTTTGTAGAGGTGGTAACTTCAGCACTGTTTTAATTATGGATAGCAGGGATTCACCCCAAGGTGCTTGTGGTGAACCCGGTTCTCCTGGTCAAGCTGGCCCCACTGGTATTGCTGGTGTCCCTGGCTTCCCTGGTGCCTGTGGTGCTCCTGGACCTCAGGGCCCCAAGGGTTCCCCTGGACCTAAGGGTAACAATGGTGAACCTGGTGCTCAAGGAGACAAAGGAGAACCCGGTGCTAGGGGAGAACCTGGCCCAGCTGGCATTCAAGGACTCCCACCCTGGCAGGTTCCTCAATACCAACCACAACTTTCAAGCTATACCCACACCCAACAACCTCAGCCTAATACACAGATGGTTCATGTTTTTAATACTTTATATATAGTTTTGATAGATAAAACAGTATTAATGCTGGCTCTTAGAGGATGTACAAGCTGAAGTTGGGACCTAGACATTGTTTGCATAGGCTGTGCAATGTGAAATAACTAAAATAAAATAGGATAATAAGTATGCTTAGTCAATTTGTAACGTGGTATCCTAGAGGCATCTGCAATAAAATAAGTGGGTTTCCAAGACCTGACAAGTGAGGGCAACTTAATATAACATATGTCTACAGTTTGCTGCCCCTTCCTTATCAGAGGCCACTTGCAACCTTAACACAGCAAGACAACTCTTCCGAAACCTGTATTAAACAAAGCACTTTAGAACAATAGTAATTATTTTGTTTCTCCTATTTCATTCCTAGTTGTTCTGAAAAAAATATATTGTTTAAGTGGGATAACTGTATGGAGGTTCCAACATGTATTAAAACATGATCACGCACATACAGAATTGGTGGCTTTTTGGACATCGGGATCTATAAAAGGTTTCGGTTTCCAAAGATGTTATCAGGGTCCACAAAACTGACAGACTTCAGCATTCCAATTTTATTAAAGTAATTAATTGAGATTATCAAATCAAGGTTTAAGTTTAAGAACAGTATTTTATTGGGAATTATACCAATATGTATATGTTAGTGTTTTAGTACTCAACAAGCATTTATATAGAAGGAGTGCTTCTCTCATTCATACAAAGGCATTCTAAAGGGAAATTATGTATTAAAATTTTATAAAGGACAAATTCAATGAATTATAAACAAAACAGAGAGACGTACATGTTACACTAGTTAAGAGTTTAACTTTAGTCTCTAATTTGAGTTTAGCCTAGATAATTAATTTATTGATGTCGTACTGATCCTTGTGTTTGTATGATTATAGAGACCGTATGGAGTATTTGTGCCGCCTGATATTTGGGACTACACACCAATCTCTCTGGCTGACCTACCTGCCTACCTACCTTTTTTGCAATTAAATCAGTTTGGTCAAAAAACCATGCTGGCCGAAGAAACTGAGATGAGGGCATAAACTAACCTGGAAAGTCCTGAAGATGCAGCGCTGTCTAATGCCGCTATTTCTGTATTACCCTTTCAACAATTGGGGTGTTGAACAGAGTATTGTGGTGAACATCCAGCAAACAGAAGATTTAAGAACTATGTGGAAGCTGACATCGTCTTGTTGTCAGCCATATTGCTACCCTTAGCTATGTTATGGTGTCTAAGATTATGGAACAAAGTTTATGGTGTCTAAGATTCTTTATACTCCTTGAAAGACTTATAATATTTTTCTGGACTATGCTGGACTATTGGACTATTTTGTTATTTTTATTTTTGTAGAGTTAGCCGGAGAGAGAGGAAGTGTTAGCTTACTCAGGCATGGATGTACTATGTGTGTCATTGATGTATGTTGAGTGTACCAAGGATGGATTCCCATGTATTAAGTGTGGATATGACTGGACCATCTAAATAGGGATTTGATTAGGAGGCATAGGACGCAAGGTCATGATTGGGATTATTGCTAGAATTGCAAACTGATTAGAAATGATCTCATGATTTAATATGTAAGTGGGCCTTTTCAAACTAATCAAGAAGTGTTTCCCAATCCCGATACCCAAGCTATTTACTTACATAGTGCAGGTTTTATAAGTCACTAATGCTGTCAACGTGAGGGGATGACATGTCTACACAGTCATGGCCCTCACTTAGAATTTACCCAGATGTGCTTTTTTCCTCATTTTTGCCACTGGGTTTTTTTGACCTGGCCCAAGTTTACTGGGTGGACTGGTAATCCAAGACCCTGGTCCAAAGAGGGGAAATAGATTTTATTCCCATTTTTGATTATATGTGTTTACATTGTGAATTATAATAATAATATTCCCGTTGTTGGGAATAATACACTTTGCCTGTTTTGATCCAAGGCTCAAGTTACAGATAACATGATGTGCAGTCTGTTTAAAATTGGTTAAGATGTCAGCTGTTTGAAATATTTAACTTGTACACTTAAAAGATGTATACAACAGATGATTACAGAAGCTGAAAATCGAGGTGAAGAAATGGGGGAAATCGAGGTGAAGAAATAATGAAAGTCCCGTAGACGTGATTAGCACGTCTGAATATACTTCCTTTCATTTCTCTGCCGCAGGCCTCCCATGGATATTCCATAAGGTAGATCACGATATGATCTAAAGAGAGGAATTGTAGGATATGAATATCCATTTTGCTTAATATCCTAGCTGTTCATATAAGGGTTAATTTGAACCAAGAATAAATTTGGAATTGTATCTTCGATTCTGGGAAGAATTTATCTAATATCATTTATGAGAATGACCATACTGATTTCCAAATGTTCTTGTTAATTGTCCAAGATTAAGGTATTTGTAAATATCTTGTTTTGATAAAATATACATGTGTTATATAACGTAGAATTATAATAAGAAACAGCTGCTCATAACTTGTGAAAAACAATGTAATTGTCACGCCCATATGCTCATTTTTCCCCCTCCCATCCTGCTATGAAAATGGGGTATAAATATCACTGACGTATGAATACAATTTGAATTGGTTATTGAACACGTCTCTGCTATTCATTTCCAATTTCCAGAGCTCTGTATGAGTTGGCAAATATCCATCATCCACAAAGGGCCCGGGCTGATTTTATCCCCAACAGGCTGCGGCTGGGAGGCTTGCTGCCTGCGGCTGACAGGCTGCGGGCTTGCTGGCTGTAGGCCTGTGGCTTGCTGTAGGCCTGTGGGCTGGCTACTGGCCTGTGGTTGGCTGCTGGCCTGTGGGCTGGCTAACTGGTGGCCTGTGGGCTGGCTGGCTGGTGGTCTGTGGGCTGGTTGGCCTCTAAAGATGGCTGACAAAGGTGTGGCCGAGCCCAGTTTTTTGTAAGGCAGTGTGCAGAATCCTGGCTGATGTGTGTGTTTGTGTAGTGGCTGATGAGTGTTTGTGTAGTGAATGATGTGTGTTTGTGTAGTGAATGCAGTGTGTGTGTATTTTTTAACTGTTGAATGTTTATATATTTTTTTTGTACTGCCTCTTAGCTGTAGCCAGGGAGGGGGGGCACAGTATTGTGTGGTTGTGTAGTGGATGCAGTTTGTATGTTTATGTTGTGGATGATGTATGTGGTTGTGTAGTGGATGATGTGTGTGGTTGTGTAGTGGATGCAGTTTGTGTGATGATGTATGTGGTTGTGTAGTGGATGATGTGTATTTATGTAGTAGATGATATGTGTATTTGTGTAGTGGATGATGATGTGCATTTGTGCAGTGGATGATGTGTGTGGTGGATGTGTGACAAATGCTGCTGGGGGGTATTTTTTAGCGGTTGAATTTTATATATATATTTCTTTAAATTTTTTTCCCCCTCCCTCCCCTGTCAACTTCTTCCCCCCCCCTGTCAATTTCTTCCCCCCGTGTCAATTTCCCCCCTCCCCCGTCAATTTCTTTCCCCTACCTCTGTTGTAGCATGGCCGAGCTCTGTATGGTCCAAGGGTACAGGGAGCTTTTGTTTCCTGTACCCGGCCGGACTGAAAGGAAGTGCACTCACTCAGTGTGCACTTCCTGTCAGTCCGGCCGGGTACGCGCGGACTATACAGGGCTCGGCCATGCTCCAGTGAAGGAGTGACAGGAGGGAGCACTGCCCTCCTGTCAGCCCCTCTCCTCATGCTGCGCCCGGGCGGTGCGCCCTCATGGATGCACCAGCCCGGGCAAAGCTACAGCCGCCTGAGGCTCTCTACAGAGTGCTCGGCGGGTGCAGCATGAGTGGGGCTGGCGCTCTGTAGAGAGCCTCAGGCGGCTGTAGCTTTGCCCGGGCTGGTGCATCCATGAGGGCGCACCGCCCGGGCGCAGCATGAGGAGAGGGGCTGACAGGAGGGAAGCGCTCAGCGCTCCCTCCTGTCACTCCTTCACTGTAGCATGGCCGAGCCCTGTATAGTCCTGTTTTTTTATAAGGATGCATCTTTGGCCTTATTCTAGTTTTTAAAATATTACTTTTCCATCTAGCTCTTCTAATATAGCTCTTCTGCTGTTTTTGTGTGGTATGTTAATAATTAGGATATTTATCATTAAGATTGGGTATATGACACATACTCATAGGGATAATACCACATTTATATGCATATTACACAAGATATATTTATATATGCATGTTGTATAAGATGTAATTATTTACAGTTGTGGTAGATGCTGCATATACATATGTTTTGTATGTGGGGTCTATTATATTTACTATTTATATGGTTCATAGGTTTGATATGTAGTCACCACTACCTTCCATCCTATCTCACATGTTCACTGATGTTCACCTCACCTATTCATAGTCTTCACTTGTATGGAAGGCTTGTCTGGGTGTTACCTATATACCTATATTATATACATTACTATATTACTAAACACACGGGTTGTGTATACATTTTATTTTCATTTACATTTATTTTTATTGTTATTTTATTATTTCACTACATTATTAATACACCTGATCGCTGTATTTCTACTTTTTTAATTTTAATTATATGTATATGCTGGTTTTCTTCTTCCTTATTAGGTGCATAGTCAGGCTTCCTCCATTTAGACACATATGTGTTCGTTCTTGTAAAAATCCCGTTCTCGGGATGCTGTCTTTTCACTTTTCTTTCACTTTTGGCACGGCGTCGTTTGGTCGCCTAGTAACCATGTTTCTCTTCCGTGATACGTCACCACGTGACGACGTCAACGCGGCGTACAGCACTTCCGGGTTTCTGGTTTCGCGGGCTAATGGGTCCACAATCATTCTCTTCACATGTTTGGTAAGCTATTTGATTAATTAATACCTGTATATATTGTCACTGTTTTGTGTGTGCTGTGATCTTGAGAAAGCCCCTTAGGGGTCGAAACGTAGATTTGTTCACGGATATAATGAAGATTTTTTCACCTTAAATATTTGATTGTCGTTTTTGCTTAAGACCTGTGAGTGCACCCCTGTCTACACATACACATACACATACACATACACATACACATACACATACACATACACATACACATACACATACACATACACATACACATACACATACACATACACATACACATACACATGGAGTGCAGAATTATTAGGCAAGTTGTATTTTTGAGGATTAATTTTATTATTGAACAACAACCATGTTCTCAATGAACCCAAAAAACACATTAATATCAAAGCTGAATATTTTTGGAAGTAGTTTTTAGTTTGTTTTAGTTATAGCTATGTTAGGGGGATATCTGTGTGTGCAGGTGACTATTACTGTGCATAATTATTAGGCAGCTTAACAAAAAACAAATATATACCCATTTCAATTATTTATTATTACCAGTGAAACCAATATAACATCTCAACATTCACAAATATACATTTCTGACATTCAAAACAAAACAAAAACAAATCAGTGACCAATATAGCCACCTTTCTTTGCAAGGACACTCAAAAGCCTGCCATCCATGGATTCTGTCAGTGTTTTGATCTGTTCACCATCAACATTGCGTGCAGCAGCAACCACAGCCTCCCAGACACTGTTCAGAGAGGTGTACTGTTTTCCCTCCTTGTAAATCTCACATTTGATGATGGACCACAGGTTCTCAATGGGGTTCAGATCAGGTGAACAAGGAGGCCATGTCATTAGATTTTCTTCTTTTATACCCTTTCTTGCCAGCCACGCTGTGGAGTACTTGGACGCGTGTGATGGAGCATTGTCCTGCATGAAAATCATGTTTTCTTGAAGGATGCAGACTTCTTCCTGTACCACTGCTTGAAGAAGGTGTCTTCCAGGAACTGGCGGTAGGACTGGGAGTTGAGCTTGACTCCATCCTCAACCCGAAAAGGCCCCACAAGCTCATCTTTGATGATACCAGCCCAAACCAGTACTCCACCTCCACCTTACTGGCGTCTGAGTCGGACTGGAGCTCTCTGCCCTTTACCAATCAGCCACGGGCCCATCCATCTGGCCCATCAAGACTCACTCTCATTTCATCAGTCCATAAAACCTTAGAAAAATCAGTCTTGA